TTTACACACCTGAACTTTACACACTTGAACTTTACACACCTGAACTTTACACACTTGAACGTTACACACCTGAACTCTACACACCTGAACTTTACACACCTGAACTTTACACACCTGAACTCTACACATCTGAACTCTACGCATTTAAACTTTACACACCTGAACTCTACACATCTGAACTCTACACCCCTGAACTCTACACACCTGAACTTTACACACTTGAACTTTACACTCCTGAACTCTACACATCTAAACTCTACACACCTAAACTTTACACACCTGAACTTTACACACCTGAACTCTACACACCTGAACTCTACACATCTGAACTCTACACATTTAAACTTTACACACCTGAACTTTACACACTTGAACTCTACACACCTGAACTCTACACACCTGAACTTTACACATTTGAACTTTACACACCTGAACTCTACACATCTGAACTCTACACATTTAAACTTTACACACCTGAACTTTACACACTTGAACTTTACACTCCTGAACTCTACACATCTAAACTCTACACACCTAAACTTTACACATCTGAACTTTACAAACCTGAACTCTACACACCTGAACTCTACACATCTGAACTCTACACATTTAAACTTTACACACCTGAACTTTACACACTTGAACTTTACACACCTGAACTTTACACACTTGAACGTTACACACCTGAACTCTACACACCTGAACTTTACACACCTGAACTTTACACACCTGAACTCACATTTACACATTTGAACTCTACACATTTAAACTTTACACACCTGAACTTTACACACTTGAACTCTACACACCTGAACTCTACACACTTGAACTTTACACACCTGAACTCTACACATCTGAACTCTACACATTTAAACTTTACACACTTGAACTTTACACACTTGAACTTTACACACCTGAACTCTACACATCTGAACTCTACACCCCTGAACTCTACACACCTGAACTTTACACACTTGAACTTTACACTCCTGAACTCTACACATCTAAACTCTACACACCTAAACTTTACACATCTGAACTTTACAAACCTGAACTCTACACCCCTGAACTCTACACACCTAAACTTTACACACTTGAACTTTACACTCCTGAACTCTACAAATCTAAACTCTACACACCTAAACTTTACACACCTGAACTTTACACACCTGAACTCTACACATCTGAACTCTACACACCTGAACTCTACACATCTGAACTCTACACACTTGAACTTTACACTCCTGAACTCTACACATCTGAACTCTACACACCTAAACTTTACACACCTGAACTCTACACATCTGAACTCTACACACTTGAACTCTACACATCTGAACTCTACACACCTAAACTTTACACACCTGAACTCTACACACCTAAACTTTTGAGGGTTACTAACTTTGGTTAGTAGATGATTGGTAACACTTTACTTGTGTAATGATGAATAATAAAAGTGTTCAGATTTGACCGTTTGTTTAGTGAAATGGAACTACTTGAAATTCAGTATTAGTAATAATTAATATTAATATTTAATTTAGAATGTTTACAGAATAAAGACTATAAGAGTCCAATTTAAGTACATTTTCTTATTTGTAGTATTTAGTCTATTTTTGCTAACTATAAATGTTAATTCTGCGTTTAATTATTTTTTGAATAGACTGAGCTTGGAGGGCTTCAGGCTGTGTGTGGCACGTGTGCTGAAGAGCCTCGCGATGATGTTGCGTTCGCAGTGATTCATTAATATCTGCGGCGTCTCTCGGGTCACGTCTGAGCATCCGTCAGAAGCAGGTGTTCAGATCCGCGTTCTCGACCCGCGGCTGACAGCGCTCACATTCACACACACCTCAAAGAAGACCTTCTTTTCTTCTCTCGGAAATAAAGCTGAATTTATGCGGAATAATAAGTGAGATGATGGGCAGACGGATCCTCGGTTTCCACAGTAACAGAAGGAAGAGGGACATTACCGGGTTCAGATGTGGAAATTGGTTCCTGTGCAGGTCTCATCCCATTACACACCTGCTTCGGCCCTCACACACACGTTACACAGTTGCTCTGGCCCTCACACACACGTATAGATCACATTATAGCACTTCTAGATGCATTTTGGAAGTTAAAAACCATCGGTAACCCTCTACAGTTCAAGTCCCTCCAGGAGTTCTCCTCTATGTCAGAGTCAGTGTTCCTGTTGTATCTCGAGTTTCTCCCGGGAACAAACACGTCTCAATATTCCTCATTATAATAATTAATGCGCAGAATAAAGGGGCGGGGCCTGGTTGAGTTAGTCAATAGTGTGTTAAACTGGCGGTTATGGAAAGGGGCGGGGCATTTCCCAAACACACTCGAAGCGCTCGACCAATGCTCTGTGCTTTTCAGAAGGAGACAGGAAGTAAACAGAGCCATCTTTCGTCATACTTCACTTGTTCATATTATATTCCCATATGCTAAATCTCATTATTTCTGTTAGTGTGTCATCAAGTTTTATATTTCCAGAGTGTTAGTGCATTTTACACACACACACACACACACATCTCTCTCTCGTTCATCTGTAATCAGGATAGACCTGCAGTGAGGCTGTGATTTGCTCTTTGACCTCTGAACTTTGACCTCAGTGTGAGATCTGGTGCTAATTATCTTCCCCTTGCACCTTCACTGTCTCTCATTGGCTTAAATAATTCATCACATTATATTTCATCTCCAAACTGAAGCGCTGGCAGAGATCACCTTTACCCAGCATGCCGTAGGGTGGTAATGTATTATCATGCAGCAGAGCAGATCATTCAAAGAGTGTCATAGAATTTATTTCTGCACTGACTATTTCACACATATCAGACGTAACTGAAACTGACGTCTCAAACTGAGGGAGAGAGAGAGAGAGAGGGAGAGGGAGAGAGAGGGTTTTGTTGAAGCACCTTTTTGATGTTGGAGGCATCCATGACTCTTTGACTGTATATTACACTTCAAACCCCCACAAATGTGCAAAATGATTGACAGGTAAAGACTGAGTGTGATTGGCTAGTAATCTGATTGGTGAAAGACACACAGGCCACTCCCTCTGACATTTTTGCGTGATGGATGGATGAATTGATATTTAGGAATGGATGGATGGATAGGTGGTTGGAACGATATTTATGGATGGATTGGTTTTTAGTTGTGGATTGATATTGGTATAGATGGATGGATATTTGGATGGGTGGATGGATATATGAATGGGTGGATATATGGATGGATGGATGGATGGATATATGGATGGGTGGATGGATGGATGGATGGATGGGTGGATGGATATATGGATGAATGGATAAATGGATGGATATATGGATGGATGGGTGGATATATTGATGGGTGGGTGGGTGGATAAATGGATGAATGGATGGATGGATGGATAGATGGATGGATATATGGATGAATGGATGGATGGATGGATATATGGATGGATGGGTGGATATATTGATGGGTGGGTGGGTGGATAAATGGATGAATGGATGGATATATGGATGGGTGGATGGATATATGGATGGATGGATGGATGGGTGGATGGATGGATGGGTGGATGGATGGATGGGTGGATGGATATATGGATGGATGGATATATGGATGGATGGATGGGTGGATGGATGGATATATGGAAGGATGGATGAATATATGGATGGGTGGATGGATAGATAGATAGACCACAGGAAAGCACAGGCCGTGTGCAGGTTTGTAACTTCATTAACTACAGTATATTTATAAATCCAGTTTTTATATTCACAGATAACCTTTCGCATGCAACCGCAGACTTTATTACAGATTGGAAACCCAAAGGTCAGATTAGCATCAGTCAACATTTGTTGCGCTAGCAGCTAGCCGCTAGCCGCTCTCTTTCTGCCATCTCTAAATACCAGCGTCTGGAGATTCCAGTTCATGGCTGCGTGGAGTAAAGTGTGTGTGCAGTGTATGAAACCAGGCTCTGTTTACATCCCTGTTCTTTGTCATGGTCACTTAGCATCGATGCTGGCGTTAGCGTAGTCTCCTGGCGCTCCGGGGCTCCGCTGGCCCGTCCTCAAACCCGACACACGCACTTTCTGCAAGGAGCGTGAGAGGATGCTTGCCCTTTAAGTCTATGAATGATTAAAAGGCAAACAGGGGCGTTGTGGTGTGTTGTGGCAGTGCTAATGTATGAAGCCGCGCCGGGGTCCTGTTCCTCTGCTGTGGGGAATATTGGATCTGGAGAAGGAGCTCATGATAGAAGCCTCTTATAAAGCCTGAGAGCCACAGATGAAAGGAAGGAGAGATGGAGAATCCTGATGAATACGGTTATAGATCCAATGCCACGGACTTGTCAATAAGATTCTGCAAACACGTCCTTATTTTCTAACAGAAGTATGTTATATATCAGTGCAAAAACACGACGTTCCTCCTCAGTCTCGTTTTCCAAGATTCAAAAAGACTTTATAAAGAGAGACAGTCAATGAATCTGAAAGTTATAGCAGAATAAGTCATATTAGTTTGGTAAAATGTCTTTATACACTAAAAAAACTCACTCAGAAATTGTTAGTAAATTTCACAAATAATTACAAAGAAATGGCAAATTAGTTTTGAAGTGAACGACTGAAACATTACTTTTTATTCTGCAATAATCTTGTAAAAGTGAGTCGTTGTATGATTCGCTCGACTGAGTCGTTGTATGATTCGCTCGACTGAGTCGTTGTATGATTCGCTCGACCGAGTCATTGTATGATTCGCTCGACCGAGTCGTTGTATGATTCGCTCGACCAAGTCGGTGTGTGATTCACTCGACTGAGTCATTGTGCGATTCGCTCGACTGTGGTAAATTGTATTTTTCAGGATTCTTTGACAAATATAAAGTTGAAAAGAACAGCATTTATATGAAATAGAATCTGTTTTAACATTATAAATGTCTTTAATGTCACTTTTGTCTATCTTACCGAAAACATATTTCTGGCTGATTTCCTTGTGTTTAATACAGTCTCTCTCTCTCTCTCTCTCTCTCTCAGTGTGTATCAGGTGGTTGTTGAGGAGGAACGTCCACGGAGAGCTCGAGGTGGTGAGGCTGAGATCCTCCGCTGTTATCCGGTGCCGGTCCACTACCAGAACGCCAGCGGTCTGAACTCTCGCTATTACTACGGCGCAGAGTTCCCGTCCGCCAGCGTCCCGTCGCCTCAGCCCTTCACCGTCGGGGATAACCGGACCTACGGCGGGTACTGGAACGCCCCGCTGCTGCCACACAAGAGCTACAGCGTCTACTATCAGGCCGTCAGCACCGCCAATGGGGTGTGTATACTCAATGTAGACGAGTCAGGTCAGGTTTGAGTCTAGCGTCTGTAGCCCCGCCCACTTTCACAGCTGACTTGCGCTTATATTTGCATAATACAATACAGATTGTTTCAAAGCAGCTTTCCAGGGTGTGTGTAGTGATGATAGTCGAGTCAGCTCAGGTTAGTGTCTACTGTAGCGGGGCTCATTTGCATATTCATAAAACCGCACATAGTAAATGAGGCGAGGGTGTCGAGTTACATTCAAGATATTTTGAGAGTGAAGGCGGGGCTCATTTGCATATTCATAGAACCGCGCATAGTAAATGAGGCGAGAGTGTCGAGTTACATTCAAGATATTTTGAGAGTGAAGGCGGGGCTCATTTGCATATTCATAGAACCGCGCATAGTAAATGAGGCGAGGGTGTCGAGTTACATTCAAGATATTTTAAGAGTGGAGGCGGGGCTCATTTGCATATTCATAGAACCGTGCATAGTAAATGAGGCGAGAGTGTCGAGTTACAGTCAAGATATTTTGAGAGTAAAGGCGGGGCTCTTTTGCATATTCATAGAACCGTGCATAGTCAATTAGGCGAGAGTGTCGAGTTACAGTCAAGATATTACGAGAGTGGAGGCGGGGCTCATTTGCATATTCATAGAACCGCGCATAGTAAATGAGGCGAGGGTGTCGAGTTACATTCAAGATATTTTAAGACACGAAGGAAAGAAAGCGTAAATATGTCATTTTGGAGATCAAACATGAGTTTTAAGGGATAAAATGATTGAGTCCATCTAGGTATGTTGACATGCACTCATTTTCTTCCTCAGTATTTTCCAGTACAAATATCTAAACATAGATAATACATATACATATATATTTTATCAGTGTTGCATTTCCAAAGAAAGCCACCGTACAACTGGCTTTATTTACTTCGGCACCAACGCCAATTTTTCACTTGCGTTTGGCGCTTGTTGAGCGTTAATTTCAGTCCCTTTGGGAGACACAGAAGAGTGTGAGGACTTCAGTTAACACACACGTCGAGTGGCTCTCGAGCGGCCGGAGGTAATTGTGGGTAAGAAAGAGAATGGAGGTGAATAGGATCCCTTCGGACTCCTCGACGAGCCTCCTCAAACGCGCGCGCCAGGGAGCCGCTTTGCCTGTAATCGCGCAGAAAAACACTTCTGAAAGACACTTTTGAGTGTCACACACGCCGGAGACGCCCACCGCTCGCATTAACTCACTTTGGTTTAATGCGTCTCGCTCTCTCTCACCTCTCGCGGTGCTTTTAAAGAAAGCGCGCGTCTAGATTGACGGCTCTGAAAGGCCGCGGAAGAGCCGCTGGATGTAATTGATGTCCTAATTGTGTGAGGATCTGTGTTTTAGCCTCCCTGATGGATCCAGACAGGCACTTACCGAGACGGCCCTCGTTCCTGCCTATTCAAGACCTGTTATTCATTGAATCAGGACTCGCGCTGTTACTGTCGCTCGGTGCCGACGCTAAACGCACATTCCTGTCCGCTCGCTTTGTAATAGCAAATGAGTGTTTGTTTCTGCGACTCAGGTTAAAAGTCTTAGCGTGTGTTCGGGTGTAAGTGTGTGTGTGTTTCAGATTAGGAAACTCTAGCAAAGTTTGAAAGATCCAGGAGTGTTTTGAAACTAGCAGTGTGTTGGTATGCATAAAACACCAGCAGGAATATGAGGACGTGTGTGTGTGTTTAAGTGTGTGTAGTCAGTGTGTGATGTTGCAGTTTGAGCGTAAACAACATCTGCAAAGTTACGACTCTCAACGCTCAAAGCAAAGAGAGATTTACTATTACAGAAAGCACTTTTTAAGGACTACAACAAACGGCTGGTAGAACTACACACGGGTTAGGGACATCACAAACATCAAATTTACATAAACCCCGCCCCCCAGAGCACGATTTATAGATTATCATGAAAAGATACTCATATCAAAAAGTGACCATTTTAACATGATATGTAAAATATCTGTGGGGTATTTCCACACACACACACTCATCAGAGTCTTATTCTCCATCATGTGAATAGCGCATTAGGACGTCTTTAAGATTAGAAAACCCTAGCGGAGATCCAGCAGTCTTTGGAAATGCATTAGCAGTGTGTCGGCATGTTAAACAGACCAGCAGTAATAAAGCAGAACGGTGTGTGTGTGTGTGCAGCTCGAGACATTAGTTTGATTGCGAGCGATAAAGCGAGTCGTGTTCCAGGTGTTCGGCCCCTGAACGCTCACACACAGCCTTCGTCTCACACACACTTGTGATGCTGCATCTGCTCAGCGGGAATAAAAACAGATTTAATAAATCAGCAAATCCGTGTGTGTGTGTGTGTTCTGCTGACTGAGTGTGTGTTACGCACCACTGCAGCCTCACACACTTGCTTTCTGTTGGACTGCCAGTGGATTAACATCACTCATTCGTTATGATGATTATAGAATTATTGTAATAATTTTAATAGGTATTATTATTGTCATTATTAAATAATAATAAAATAGCATTATAATAAATTATTATTATAACTATAACACACTTATATCTGTATCTGCACTTTTTTGTTAGATGCAATTAATCGGGATTAATCAATTTGACAGAACTAATTATTATCATTAATCTAATGATTAAAAATAAAAAACTTTATAATAAATTGATATTTAAACATTTATTATTTTCAATGATGATGATAATGATATAAATATGAATATAATAATATAATTCTGATTTGTGTCATCAGAAAATTCAATAAATATTTTTTTTTAATAAATAATAAATAATTATTTTTTAAATTGATGTACTGAAATATTTGATGTTTTTTTATCTTCTTTTCTCCAGGAGACGAAGATCGACTGTGTTCGTGTCGCTACCAAAGGTAGATGTTCTGATTTATGCAAACAAAATGATATTTTGCATGTAATCCGCATTGTGTTTCAGTCTCTCGTCCAGTCACGCTGTTAACCTGCTGAATATGCAAATGAGAACATTAACCCAGAGTTAATTACTAACCCGGGATAAAGAAAGAGAAACACAAGACTAGATCTCACTGGAGTTACTGCATGTTTATCAGCTTGATGATTTACTGACTCACACACACACACACACACACTCACTAATTCCCTCTCCTTCTCCGCATGTGTGTGTGTGTATCTTGATCTTCCAGCTGCTATCTTGGTGACTCAACTCACGACTCCTTACGTTCGCATCGCTCCGGCCGCTGGAGACAAACAGCTAACAGGTCAGACACTTACTCACGTGTGTGTGTGTGTGTGTGTGTTCCCAGATAATAACTAAAATATCTTCTACGGATGTTTCGCTAATGTTCCCATTACGTTATTTCTGAACATCCAGATTTGAACCGTTAGCTCTCAGGATCACTTTAAAGTATTTAGGCGAGTTTAGAGTGTTTATCTACTTTATGATGATTGCTAATATGATGAACAAGTCTCAATAATATTCACAATAACATCATTTTACTGAATAATTAAGTAAACATAATTCCTTAATTTATCTTTGTAAAGAAACCTCATCGTTTAACCGGGACTCTCTGTTGACGACATCACTTCCTGTCGGCCACCTTAATTTCTGTTGGGTGCAGTTCCAAAACTCACCACTAGATGCACAAAAAATTACACACGGCACCTTTAAAGCATCGTGTGTTTGACCTTTGACCTCAGGGTTAGCGACGCACAAACCAAACGCGGTGGAGCCGGAGAAACAGACCGACCACACGGTGAAGATCGCAGGGGTCATCGCGGGGATACTGCTCTTCGTCATCATCTTCCTCGGCGTCGTGCTGCTCATGAAGAAACGGTGAGCGCCTCACACACACACACACACACACACACACACACGGCACTGAAGACACGCGTGACTGTTTGAGCTCCGCTTAAATGAGTGAAATTAGTTTTGGGGAGTAATGCCAGTCTTATTTTATTTCTTTTTATTTAATTGTAGTTTTAATATGTTTTATTTTTCTGTACATTTTAGTTTGATTTTTAGTCATTTCATTGTGTGCTTTTTTCTTCTTTTTATAGACCATTTCGCAACACTGGTCCAGAAGCACTTCCTGTTTCAGTTTGTAACTGTTTTCTTTATTTCACATCTTAAAGATGTTTGTTTAACTTTTTGATTCAGTTTTATATTTTATCCCAGCTTTTATGTAGTGTTAAAAAACCGAAACAGGAAGTGCTTCTGGACCAGTGTTGTTTACATCTTGTGAAATGGTCTATATATACAGTATATATATATATATTTCTTTTTAGGTTTCATTTATTTCTATTTGTTTAATTTATTTCTATTTCTATTTCAGTTTCAGTTTTTATTTCCAGTTAATGATTTTAGTGCTTCAACTTTTCCCATTTTTGTTTGGTTATTTATATTTGATTTTATTTCAGATTTATTTCAATTAGCATATTTTTTAATCAAATAATGTCGATAAAGACTAATAAATATTGTAATAATTGTTTAGCTCATTGTTAGATATTCATGAGGCGCGAGCGAGTCCATCTTCGGATCGGGGAAACTGCAGATTTTAATAATAGATTTTCTTTCTGACCTTTAATCCGCCTCATCCACACATCTATAAACTCTGAATTATTAATCTAATTATGTTGATAAGCGCTGTTATGTGACCTCTGACCTCTGATCCAGAAATCTCAGTAGATCGGTGATTGTGGCACACACTCATACGCCTGTACGCACATATATCAATCAATCAATCAACTTTACTGGAAGGGCTGTGCATAAGACGGACACACATTCATAATCATGAATATGAAGGAGGATTTATGACGTCATTAAGGGTCATTCACTCAATAAAATGCTACAAAACACTAAAATATAAAGACAATAAGAAAGGTTGAGAAGCGCTGGTTTCTCAGTGTCGATCGTTTGCATGGAGAGACGGGCTTTATCACACACACACACACACACACACACGGATTCTCTTGATTGAATCCGCTTTAATATCGCTTAATCAAATGAACGTGTGTGATTGAATCTCTTGCATGTATTTGGTTTGATTTGCTGAATTGGATTAGAAGGGACGCGTGCCGCCGCTCGTGTTTGTGCATATTCGTCTAATTACAGCGAGGACAATTAATGCTGCTTTCTTAGCTAATGCACAGTGTACCACATTGTCCTTTTTAATGCGCTTATGAATGTTTACTTGGAGAGTTTATAATGATTATGATTAACGATGCAGAAAATCACAGGAATAAATGACACTTTACTGTATATTCACATAGAGAACAGATGATTTACATTAGAATAATATTACATTATATTAGATCAGATAACCGCAGCTTTGAGGAGCTGAACAACTTTTGACTGGTTGTAGTCTTAATATTTTGGGTTCATCCAGACAAAAAAATCAAGTGTGTGTGTGTGTGTGTGTGTGTGTAGAGTATAAGGCAGTGGACGTCTAGATATGGGCTGATGGGTTCAGCGTTCAGGTTTGTGTTACAGTTTTTTTTATTCGCTTTGGTACTATTTTCAAAACTCTTAGTGCTAATATCACATCAGATCATCAAAAGTGCACTTTATTCACTCATTTCATCATGTGTGTTAGTACAATTCACACAATCACAAAGTTGCACAACACAAAATAAGTGTTTCATCTAGTCTACATTATTGTTTCATTCACAGTAAAGCTCTTTTGATTTTGTTCAGTTTAATACTTTTTGTCTATTATTTAATCCAACAGATCTTAATGGTTAATCAATTATGTAATCATTTGGTAAACCTATAGATTTTCATTTCAGCAATATACAGTATATGGATTTTGAGTATTTACAGTAAATTACTGTAGCTAATTGATTTCACATAGTGGTAACCACAATTGTTTATGTTTTGTTCTCATTTAGTTACATTTAATTATAGAAAGTATACCTATGTTACAATTATATCTGAAAAATAAAAACTATAATTTGCCTAAATGATTGTAGAGGATGTCTTCATTGATCCTTCAGAGTTCAGATGCAAAAGCCTCTAAGTGCCATTTGAAATTTTCTTCTTGAATGATGATTTTTTTATCAAACGTTCAGTAATTTCACTTAAATAACAATTAATAGGTAATCTTCATTGCCATTCAAGTGAAATTACTGAACTTAAATATACAAGCTTGATAAAAATGATCATTCTAGAAGAAAATTTCAAACGGCACTTAGAGGCTTTTGCATCTGAGGGATATTTGGAAATTATAGATTATGTAAATGTTGGGTACTGTAAGTGTATTGCCTAATGTCACAGTAAAACTGTGTAATCTGTCTTTTATAGCATATTCATTTCAGGCCGATTTGAAACATGTATCTCGCATTGTTTGCTGTTGGATGAACTGATTGTTAAAAGTACTAAACTGAAAGAAGTGTTTCAGTGATTACATTACATATTACAATAATCTTGTGTTTAATGACTGATCAGGTTTTGAAAGGATGACGAGCTGCGTTACGAGTGTGATCACTTTGGATTTTTGTACTAAGAAAATAGTACCAAAGCGAATAAAAAAAGCTGTTATAAACATCATGCATGCCAGGAATCGCTCTCTCTCTCTCTCACACACACACACACGTATGCCACCATGTCTGCTTGTGTTCATTTTATATATCGTTTTCAAACATTAATATTTTTTACTTTTTCTTTCCTTCCATCTTCATCCCCCTCCACTGCTTAAACCCCTCCACCACCCCACTGGGCAGGAGAACCTATCAGTCCTACACTTACTACCTGTAAGTAAAACACCTGACACCTGCATGACTGACCCGTGCGCTCGCATCCACACACGACACTCGGCCTCAGATTGTTTGTGATATTATGAGCGAATGTTGCCTGTCTGTGAATGCTGTACCTCCTCCAATCAGAGCCGTGATGTGGATTTATCATTATAGATCACTTTACTCGTAGATATAACTGGAATAAAAACTTTCCCGAGGATGATTCTCCTTGTCTTGCCCAGCACAGGGAAAATAACCCTTCATCTCATAAATCATCATCATCGCTCCATAAGCATTAATCACTACACGCTTACGTCGCGTTCCTGCATGGTTGGTGTTTTTTGCATGCAAATGAAGCCCATCATCCTAATATTTTCACGTGTTTAATGGATGCTCGCTCTGTCTGTCTGTCATGTTTAGAGGCGGGAATCGAGAACTGGTTTGTGTTTAAAACCACTTCCCAAAATGCTCGTTTATTCTGCTCTGCTAATCATTATAATCTGAACACACGTCTCTATACTGTATCAGTGTGAGGCTTTAAAGGGATAGTTCACTTTGAAATTAATGTTTGATATGTTTTATCTTCCCTCAAGGGCATCCGAGATGTAGGTGTCTTTGTTTCCACAGTATTTTGACATTTTTCGCTCAAACCGTTGTTGTGTATCAGTCATACACTGGAGGCTAAGGGGGTCCACCAAAGTCCAGATTAAACATGATTTAACAGTGTTGTAGTACTCGAGACTCGGACTCGTCTCGGACTCGAGACTCGGATTTTAATTGTCTTGGTCTTGTCATGGACTCGTGTGCATTTGGACTCGGAATTGACTCGTACTCGAACATTTTTTTTTTTTTAGGACTCGGACTTGTTCCCGAGTCCACTCGAGTTCAATTACAAATATTTTTCATGATTATTAATGTTTGTTAATAAAATATTTCTTTAAATTGATTGACACGCCCAGTGATTGGTGATTTTCTAGTGCGCAACTGCGCATGACAAACTGTAATAAAATTACTTTTAACACCACCTACTATGTGGCCTTTTTACCCTAAACTGATCATATTTTTTTAACTCTAAATAAATTCAGTAAAAAAAAAAAAAAGGATTTCTCTAAGTAAATTAAAGTAAATTAAGTAATCAACCCTCACTGATCTCTGGTCTCGGACTCGACTCGACTACAACACTGTGATTTAATGACTCGTACATGTAAGTACACACTGATGGCCTAAGACACGAAACGAGCGGTTTGTGTGAGAAAACCAACAGTATTTATATCGTTTTTAGATACTTTCACTAAACATATTTAGATATACGGGAAACCGCAACGGAAGACGATTTCGGGATATCTAAATATGTTTAGTAAAAGGTAAAACTTCCGAAATCTCCGTGTAAATATTGAGTGACGTCACACGCGAGCGATCACTTCCGGCGTAACATTGAACTGATTCAGTTCGGTTCAGTTGGACATTGAACAACTGATTCAGATCACGGTGATTACACGAGGTAAAAACGATATAAATACTGTTGGTTTTCTCACACAAACCGCTCGTTTCGTGTCTTAGGCCATCAGTGTGTACTTACATGTACGAGTCATTAAATCATGTTTAATTTGGACTTTGGTGGACCCCCTTAGCCTCCAGTGTATGACTGATAGACAACAACGGTTTGACTGAAAAATGTCAACATTTAAAATACTGTGGAAACATCTTGAGGTAAGATAAAACGTATCAAAAATTAATTTCAAAGTGAACTGTCCCTTTAAGATACTGAACACCAGTGGGCGGGGCCTATAGTACGATAATGTGTAACTTTTTGTCTGTTTCTTGCTCTGGAGGCGGGCGTATGCAAATGTATTTGCATGTGTGATGTCACAGATGTCACAATATCCAAATGCTAACTAATGTAGTAAACTAAAATATCAGCTAATTATTTACTTAGCATACTGGTGACGGGAAGTAGGGAATAAATCAGGAATTAATCGATTTCTCATGACTTCCATCCCTGATTATTTAGAAATAACACACTCTCACACACACACACATTCAGCCAAGTTTCTTCCAGTCCAGTATTGATTCAACATGGCAGTGAGAGTGTCAATCATAAGTGTGCTGTTGTCAGTCATTAGGATCTTCAGAGTGTGTTCTCGTCTCCGGACCGGCTCTCAGACACACTCTGATGTCCTCCTGCGCTTCCACTCGAGCGGATGATTGACGTGTGTGTGTGTTCGCCGGTGTACAGGCTCAGGATTGGTGCAGGATTCAGCTTTATAATGCTCCTGCTTCTGTCATATCATCAATACGCCGGACAGTTTCACCTCTCCTGTCAGCCGTGTCCCCGAGGAGCCCATCAACACACACTCAAAGTGTGACAGGTCGAGAGCGTAACAACACACTCATAGTGTGGCAGACCGAGAGCCTCGAGGATATTTCACCCGGTCCGAATGTGCAATAAAAGTTGCAACAGAAAGCGGCTCAATAAAGAGAGACGGATGGAACGATTCATGAACGAATCTTTTCAGTGAACTGCTCAAAATGATTCGTTCTAGCTCAGCCTTTTGTCCGACAAATATATTGAACTGACATCAGCGAAACGTGAACATTGAATAATAACTTAAAATCGTAGCGGTTCGTCGGATGAAGGTTTTGAGAATCGAATAGAACGAATCTTTTCAGTGAACTGCTCTAAATGATTCGTTCTAGCCCGCCTTTTGTCTGACAAATATATTGAACTGACATCAGCGAAACGTGAACATTGAATAATAACTTAAAATCGCAGCGGTTCGCCGGACGAAGGTTTTGAGAATCGAATAGAACGAATCTTTTCAGTGAACTGCTCTAAATGATTCGTTCTAGCTCAGCCTTTTGTCCGACAAATATATTGAACTGACATCAGCGAAACGTGAACATTGAATAATAACTTAAAATCGCAGCGGTTCGTCGGACGAAGGTTTTGAGAATCGAATAGAACGAATCTTTTCAGTGAACTGCTCTAAATGATTCGTTCTAGCCCGCCTTTTGTCTGACAAATATATTGAACTGACATCAGCGAAACGTGATCATTGAATAATAACTTAAAATCGCAGCGGTTCGTCGGATGAAGGTTTTGAGAATCGAATAGAACGAATCTTTTCAGTGAACTGCTCTAAATGATTCGTTCTAGCCCGCCTTTTGTCTGACAAATATATTGAACTGACATCAGCAAACGTGATCATTGAATAATAACTTAAAATCGCAGCGGTTCGCCGGATGAAGGTTTTGAGAATCGAATAGAACGAATCTTTTCAGTGAACTGCTCTAAATGATTCGTTCTAGCCCGCCTTTTGTCCGACAAATATATTGAACTGACATCAGCAAACGTGATCATTGAATAATAACTTAAAATCGCAGCGGTTCGCCGGATGAAGGTTTTGAGAATCGAATAGAACGAATCTTTTCAGTGAACTGCTCTAAATGATTCGTTCTAGCTCAGCCTTTTGTCCGACAAATATATTGAACTGACATCAGCAAACGTGATCATTGAATAATAACTTAAAATCGTAGCGGTTCGTCGGACGAAGGTTTTGAGAATCGAATAGAACGACTCTTTTACAGTGAACTGCTCAAGTTCTTAGAGCTAAAACCTAATGAAGTGACTTTGTTGTCACCTGGTGTCTTATTTTGGCTTATTTTACAATGCTCTAAATTACAGTTTTTCCCATTCATTTCTATGGGTGCCCATTTACGACCCAAATACGAGATTAAGGAGGTTTTTTTTCACCCACTTAACATTGTAGAATTGAGTCAAAAATAATTGTGTGTGTTCAGGAGGCAAACTTGGGAAAAGTAGCCAAGTCTTGTACCGCTCAGATCAAGGGAAGTATTTTTAAAAAATAAATCAAAACTATTTTGCCCACATTTGTCCAGAATACGGCTTTAGGGTTAAATCAAGAGACGTTTACTGAAGAAAAAGAACAATAACTGAAGATATTAATGCGAGGTTACGCTTAAAACAAGACACAACACACTTGTTTTCCCTTTGAATTAAGATTTGACTCCATTTGTTCTCGTTTTAAGCACAAACTCAAACTAAACCAGACTTCATATCCTAGTCAAATATAGCTTTAATTTGATACAAGGTTAAACTGTAACTCTAACCATTATTTAATTCCTTTAAATCTAGTCTTGCGTAATCTGACTGCATATATCAGTTATTTCTCCAGTTTAATTGTAGTGACTCACAGCGACTCCAAATGTAGTTTTGTGTGTTTAGTCTCTGTTGGGTCTCGGCCGTCGACTGATCCCAGACCAGCGCGCAGCACGAGACCCACTGTTCCCACTTCTCCCCACTGTTCCCAGTGTCCGAGCGCCTCTAATGAAGACGCGTTTGTTTCGGACACACACGTTAAAGGCTGAAAATAGCCTCTGAACACAATAACCTCCATCTCCGGTGTGCCGTCAGACTTTGAAGAGTGTGTTTCCTCTGCAGGAGTCAGTCAATTAGACGTGTGTGTGTGTGTGTGTGTCACTACCATGTCATATTAATGAGCATGCAGACACATTGTCTATGTGTGAGAGTGTGTCAAGGCAAGTCATTGCTCTTAAAATGAAGCATTTTCTCACTTTAAAACGCTGAACGGCCCCGTCTTCCAGATATCAGATGATTTTCTGCTGCTTAATTCATAAAACATTATCAAATAGATTCAGAAATGAGGGTCAGTGTGAAATAGAATTTGACTTTAGGCTTGAGAGACCCTCAGATGTAGAGCTTATATGGGGGTTGAATTTAAATGTGTAAGTTGAATTGATCCGTAGAGCTGAATTAAAATATTAAACTAAATTAACCCTCAGGTGCTGAGCTGAATCAACAGTGAACTGAATTGAATCAACTCTGAACTTAATTGAATCAACAGTTAACTGAATCAACAGTGAACTGAATTGAATCAACACTGAACTGAATTGAATCAACACTGAACTGAATTAAATCAATACTGAACTGAATCAACAGTGAACTGAATCGAATCAGCTCTGAACTGAATTGAATCAACAACACTGAACTGAATTAAATCAATACTGAACTGAATCAACAGTGAACTGAATCGAATCAGCTCTGAACTGAATTGAATCAACAACACTGAACTGAATTTAATCAATACTGAACTGAATCGAATCAGCTCTGAACTGAATTGAATCAACAGTGAACTGAATCGACAGTGAACTGAATTGAATCAACACTGAACTTAATTGAATCAACACTGAACTGAATTAAATTAACACTGAACTGAATCAACAGTGAACTGAATTGAATCAACACTGAACTGAATTGAATCAACACTGAACTGAATTAAATTAACACTGAACTGAATCAAGAGTGAACTGAATTGAATCAACTCTGAACTGAATTGAATCAACAGTGAACTGAATCAACAGTGAACTGTATTGAATCAACACTGAACTGAATTGAATCAACACTGAACTGAATTAAATTAACACTGAAATGAATCAAGAGTGAACTGAATTGAATCAACTCTGAACTGAATTGAATCAACAGTGAACTGAATTGAATCAACACTGAACTGAATTGAATCAACAGTGAATTGAATCAACAGTGAATTGAATCAACAGTGAACTGAATTGAATCAACACTGAACTGAATTAAATTAACACTGAAGTGAATCAACAGTGAACTGAATTGAATCAACTCTGAACTAAATTGAATCAACAGTGAACTGAATCAACAGTGAACTGAATTGAATCAACACTGAACTGAATTGAATCAACACTGAACTGAATTAAATTAACACTGAAGTGAATCAACAGTGAACTGAATTGAGTCAACTGTGAACTAAATTGAATCAACAGTGAACTGAATCAACAGTGAACTGAATTGAATCAACACTGAACTGAATTAAATGAACACTGAACTGAATCAACAGTGAACTGAATTGTTCTGAATATTGACACTATAGTCTTTTTTGAATTTGTGTCATATATGATTCATTTGCATCATTGATTCATTGTTGATTAATTCTATTGTCCTGTTTATTACGGTGAAGCTGCATTGAAACAGTGTGTTATAGAAAGCGCTGTAGAAATAGAGCTTTATCCAGCACAGATTGTGAACTGAACTCTGTCCTAATGGAGTTTCGGCGTGTTGTTTCGAGTCATAATCTCATATCGCGGTGTAACCCGTCATCAATCATGCATCAGTCCGTGGATGTTCATGATCTCAGTTTGGCTTTAATAGAGTTTGTAGTTTGTAGAAACTTTGTGCATCTCCTTACTTTGTGGTTTGGCTCGGTTTCCGAGATCTCATTAGAAATCTCCTCCAGATCCGCTTTGGGAAAGTCGAGGCCTCAGGCGAGGAGCCCCTCCTCCACATGCTAATTTCTCTCCCACAGATTGGCTGGCTAATTTGGCCTCATTTGCATTTCCTCATACAGTGGATCTAAGATGGCCCAAGAGAATTAGCATATTTGAGTTGTAGATCAGCTGAAGCAGAACTCTATTACAACTCTTTATTCTCGTGATCAGGAGATGTTTGGTGTGTTTGGATTGGAGCTGAATGTGTTCGTTCGTTCGTTCTGTATGTTAACACTAAACACCGAATCAACACTGAAATGAATTAATCTGAATAATTACACTGTCATCTTCTATAATGATGCTTTATAGATGAATGGAACTTGTTTCATAATTAATGAACTTTACTGTTTTTGAACTGAACTGAATTAACACTGAACTGAATTAACAATGACCTGAATTAACACTGAACTGAATTAACTCTGAACTGAATTAACACTTAACTGAATTAACACTGAACTGAATTAACACTGAACTGAATTAACACTGAACTGAATTAACAATGACCTGAGTTAACATTGAATTGAATCAACACTGAACTGAATTAACACTGAACTAAATCAACACTGAACTGATTTAACAATGACCTGAATTAACACTGAATTGAATCAACACTGAACTGAATTAACTCTGAACTGAATTAACACTGAACTGAATTAACACTGAACTTAATTAACACTGAACTGAATCAACACTGAACTGAATTACCAATGACCTGAATTAACATTGAATTGAATCAACACTGAACTGAATCAACTCTGAACTGAATTAACACTGAACTGAATTAACACTGAATTGAATCAACACTGAACTGAATTAACTCTGAACTGAATTAACACTGAACTGAATTAAAACTAAATTGAATTAACTCTGAACTGAATTAACACTGAACTGAATCAACACTGAACTGAATCAACACTGAACTGAATCAACACTGAACTGAATTAACACTGAACTTAATTAACACTGAACTGAATCAACACTGAACTGAATTAACAATGACCTGAATTAACATTGAATTGAATCAACACTGAACTGAATTAACTCTGAACTGAATTAACACTGAACTGAATTAAGACTGAACTGAATTAACACTGAACTGAATTAAGACTGAACTGAATTAACACTGAATTGAATGAACTCTGAACTGAATGAACTCTGAACTGAATTAACACTGAACTGAATTAACGCTGAACTGAATTAACACTGAATTGAATCAACACTGAACTGAATTAACAATGAACTAAATTGACTCAATACTCATTTTGGCCTCATTTGCATTTCCTCGTGTAGTGGATCAAAGGCGGGCCGAGAGAATTAGCATATTTGAGTTGTAGATCAGCTGAAGCAGAACTCTATTACAACTCTTTATTCTGGTGATGTTTGGTGTGTTTGGAGCTGCATGTGTTCGTTCGTTCGTTCGTCCGTTCGTTTGGTGTGTAAGTTGGAGAACAGGCTGTAATCACAGAGAGCCGGCGCCCCTCAAGGGTCTTGTTGCGCATTGATTAAAATGAAATTGGGGTTTAATTAGGAGGTTAACGCTGCATATTAATCAGGCCCTGCTTATTGAAATCAGCCTCTTTTGATGACTTTAATGGTGGACCACCTTCAGTGCTTTCTCCACACTAAACACACGTTCAACTCTTCCTCATTTACACTCTTAACACCAGAAAGGACAGCTGGACTGTAAATAACGCTCACTATTTAGTCTTTTTTATGCTTAATTTAATGTTAATTGACATTTCTTTGTAATTAATTGTAAAAATGGGGAAAATAATGCACTGATCTCCTTTCACTATGTTCAGATAGTTAAATTATTAGGTGAAACAGAATCTAGTATTAAAGGATAAAACACTCCCGTGTGTATTAGTGACCGCGTGTCTCACATTAGTGTATCCTTTTGCTAATGCGAATAATCATATTGCTAATGTCTATTAATAATGCGAATCGTATTGCTAACGCTTATCGTATTGTTAATGCGTATTGTATTGCTGATGCGAAACGTATTGCTAATGAGTATTGTATCGTTAATGCGTATTGTTTTGCTAATGAGTATTATATTGCTAATGCGTATTATATTGCTAATGCGTATCATATTGCTAATGCGTATCACATTGCTAATGACTATTGTATCGCTAATGCGCATCGTATCGCTAATACGAATAGTATTACTAATGTGAATCGTAATGCTAATGCATATTGTATTGCTGATGCGTATCGTATAGCCAATGCGTATCGTATTGCTGATGCGAAACGTATTGCTAATGAGTATGTATCGTTAATGCGTTTTGTTTTGCTAATGAGTATCGTACCGCTAATGCATATCGTTGCTAATACGAATAGTATTGCTAATGTGAATCGTAATGCTAATGCGTATTGTTTAGCTAATGCGTATTGTATTGCTAATGCATATCGTATAGCTAATGCGTATCGTGTTGCTAATATGAATCGTAATGCTAATGCGTATTGTATTGCTAATGCATATCGTATTGCTGATGCGCATCATATTGCTGATGCGAAACGTATTGCTAATGAGTCTTGTATCGTTAATGCGTTTTGTTTTGCTAATGAGTATCGTACCACTAATGCATATCGTATCGCTAATACGAATAGTATTGCTAATGCGTATCGTAATGCTAATGCGTATTTTATTGCTAATGCGTATCATGTAGCTAATTCTGATGTTTTCATTCTTGATGTTGTGATTTTCACAACTGTGACTCGGATGACGCAAACTCTGATCCAACATGCAACAATGCTATTTCTTCTAAATGTCATAATCATGCGTTAATAACAAGGATTGATTACTTCAATGAGCTTCAGTTTCTGCATTAAATCGTTACATTGTTTAAATTATTACCTTATTGGCTAACTGTGATTTTGTATATTTCTGAAATACTTAACTCAGACAGTTTCCCCTGAGAACAGATTACACTGTGATGTGGACTTTCTGTAAAGCTGCTATGAAATGATAACTGAATAAAGTAAAAAGCGTGTGTTGAATGTTCAGGAAGCTGGCGAAGAAGCGCAAGGAGACGCTGAGCACGAGGCAGGAGATGACGGTGATGGTGAACTCCATGGACAAGAGCTACACTGAGCAGGGGACCAACTGTGACGAGGCGCTGTCCTTCATGGACACACACAACCTCAACGGACGCTGTGAGTCACACACACACTGGTTTTTATGTGTAATGGGGGCATTTAATTGACAAAAAGATTTCTTAACTGCATCTCCACATCTCACCCAACAGTATAAGTGATTATATTAAATAATATCATAAAACAGAAGTCCTGGTGAGGTCATCAGAATCCTCTCAGGTGTGCCTGCGTTCTGCTGTGTGTGTGTGTGTGTGTGTGTGTGCTGGAAACACTGAGGAGGAAGTGTGTGTTTGCACTGATATCGTGAACTGTAAATCCGTCCAGTCGCGGGTCTGATAACACACACTCATCCGAGCGATTGTTTTGTTGATAAAGCATCTGTCACACACACTCGTCACACACACAGACGCTCCTGACGTGTCCTCATGTCCCCGTCTCTGCAGGAGCTTTACACACACACACACACAGACAGCTGTGTGACCTCATCGATCCAGATTATCTGATGAGCCTTTAATCAGCGCTGATTCAAACAATTAACTTTATATCTCTGTTAGTCCATAACCCTGTGTAGAGTACACACACACACACACACACACACACACACACGCTTTCATACTGCGATGAGACGCCAGTCGACATCATTTACCGCAAAACAAGATTTTATTATTTAGTGTTCAGAACAAACATCGGGGACAGAAAATAATCTTCTTTCGCTTTGATTAGTTTATTTTTCTGACTCCTTTGAAAGATTTTGTTCTGTTTTTTCATAAAACAAGACTTCATATCTTCAGTCATTTTGCATCTCCATAACTACAGAAATGAAATCTAAGAAAGTAAAACATATTTCTTGAAAATATATCAGGGTTTTGTTTTGTTTTTTTGCCATGAATGATAAAGTATTATAAAGTACATTAGACTGTAGATCTTAATAAAATAAAAAAGGTCTTCTTCAGTCTTCAGAATTTTAGCTCATTTTCAGGTAGATTTACCACATACAGTAAAAGTGAAAGCTAAAATGTGCTAAAATGCACTTTTATGATGGACAGATGCACTTTTATGATGGACAGATGCGCTTTTATGATGGACAGATGCACTTTTATGATGGATAGATGCACTTTTATGATGATAGATGCACTTTTATGATGGACAGATGCGCTTTTATAATGGATAGATGCACTTTTATGATGGACAGATGCACTTTTATGATGGACAGATGCACTTTTATGATGTATAGATGCACTTTTATGATGGACAGATGCACTTTTATGATGGACAGATGCACTTTTATGATGGACAGATGCACTTTTATGATGGACAGATGCACTTTTATGATGGACAGATGCACTTTTATGATGTATAGATGCACTTTTATGATGGACAGATGCACTTTTATGATGGACAGATGCACTTTTATGATGGACAGATGCACTTTTATGATGGACAGATGCACTTTTATGATGGACAGATGCACTTTTATGATGGACAGATGCACTTTTATGATGGATAGATGCACTTTTATGATGGACAGATGCACTTTTATGATGGACAGATCACTTTTATGATGTATAGATGCACTTTTATGATGGACAGATGCACTTTTATGATGGACAGATGCACTTTTATGATGGACAGATGCACTTTTATGATGTATAGATGCACTTTTATGATGGACAGATGCACTTTTATGATGGACAGATGCACTTTTATGATGATAGATGCACTTTTATGATGGACAGATGCACTTTTATGATGGACAGATGCACTTTTATGATGGACAGATGCACTTTTATGATGGGCAGATGCACTTTTATGATGGACAGATGCACTTTTATGATGGACAGATGCACTTTTATGATGGACAGATGCACTTTTATGATGGATAGATGCACTTTTATGATGGACAGATGCACTTTTATGATGGATAGATGAACTTTTATGATGGACAGATGCACTTTTATGATGGACAGATGCACTTTTATGATGATAGATGCACTTTTATGATGGACAGATGCACTTTTATGATGATAGATGCACTTTTATGATGGACAGATGCACTTTTATGATGGACAGATGCACTTTTATGATGGACAGATGCACTTTTATGATGGGCAGATGCACTTTTATGATGGACAGATGCACTTTTATGATGGACAGATGCACTTTTATGATGGACAGATGCACTTTTATGATGGATAGATGCACTTTTATGATGGACAGATGCACTTTTATGATGGATAGATGAACTTTTATGATGGACAGATGAACTTTTATGATGGACAGATGCACTTTTATGATGATAGATGCACTTTTATGATGGACAGATGCACTTTTATGATGATAGATGCACTTTTATGATGATAGATGAACTTTTATGATGGACAGATGCACTTTTATGATGATAGATGCACTTTTATGATGGACAGATGCACTTTTATGATGATAGATGCACTTTTATGATGGACAGATGCACTTTTATGATGGACAGATGCACTTTTATGATGGACAGATGCACTTTTATGATGGATAGATGCACTTTTATGATGATAGATGCACTTTTATGATGGACAGATGCACTTTTATGATGGACAGATGCACTTTTATGATGGATAGATGCACTTTTATGATGATAGATGCACTTTTATGATGGACAGATGCACTTTTATGATGGACAGATGCACTTTTATGATGGACAGATGCACTTTTATGATGGATAGATGCACTTTTATGATGGATAGATGCACTTTTATGATGGACAGATGCACTTTTATGATGGACAGATGCACTTTTATGATGGACAGATGCACTTTTATGATGGACAGATGCACTTTTATGATGGAGAGATGCACTTTTATGATGGACAGATGCACTTTTATGATGATAGATGCACTTTTATGATGGACAGATGCACTTTTATGATGGACAGATGCACTTTTATGATGGACAGATGCACTTTTATGATGGACAGATGCACTTTTATGGGCTTCAATTTTTATTAATATTACTCTGAGTGTATTCGTCTGAAAGAAAAATGTCATATTATACACCTATAGGGTGACTTCAGTGTGAGTACATCATGGGGTCATTTACATTTTTGGGTGAACTATCCCTTTAAGAGCATTATGTTTTGCTTTGTGATATGATCCTGATGACAGTTAAACATTTACATTTAAATATAATGTTAAATCAGGAGAGACGTCATTCTAAGACATTGCAAAAATTCTTAATTATGTCAAAGTTTTCTATCCCTCGCGACTCGTGTATCAGTTTCTTCTGGGGTGAAGCTCGTGTCGTTAGTGTTGATCTGATCATGTGTTTCTAACTGTGTTGTTTGTCTCTTGTGAAGCGGGTTCTTCTCCATGTTCTCTGACGGTGAAGACCAACACACTTAGCAGCAGCAGCATCCCCAACACTTATTACCCAGGTAACCTCACACACACACACACACACACACACACACACACTGTTGTCCTGCAGTTTCTTCATATGGACCAAAAAAAACATCTTTAAATCACAGGCTTTAAACCCTGAACCACACTGATCAACTACACACTGCACAAAGTCACGTTCCTCCTCAGTGTTTCTGTCTCGTTTTCCAGCACACACACATCTGAACATCCTTACATCAAGAGACGTTTACTGGAGAACAAGAACTGAAGATATTAAGTCTTGTTCAATGAAAAATGTATGAAAATGAAGTTTTTGCTTAAAACAAGAACAAAAATCTGTCAATGGAGTCAGAAAAATAAACTTATTTTTGTTCTTGATTTTTCTGACTCCATTTGGAAGATATTTATTAAATTTATATATATATTAAATCTAAAAACAATTCAGAAATCACATTAAGTCATTGTTCTTGTTCTCCAGTAAATGTCTCTTGATTTGAGGATGTTTAGATGTTTGTTCTGGAAAACGAGACAGAAACACTGAGGAGGAACATTGTAATAAAAATGTTAAGATAATTAAAATGCTAAAAAAGAAAATGCTGCCATGATGATGATAAAGTTCTACTTGTCTTCTCTTCTCAGACCCGTTCGTTCCCACCGCCATCTTAGGTGAGATCCTCGACTCTTGTGATTCACTGATTCTGAGGGAAGGCGTACGATTGCCATCATGTTTGCTTTATTTAGTTTGTTTTGGGCTTTTCATCACACACACACCTGTCTGTCGCTTCTTCCTTTGGGTTCCTCTTCACTCCATCCCATGCGTGATGTCACTTCCTGTCTGACATCCCATGCTTATCGCGCGCTGTGATGTCACTTCCTGTCTGACATCTCATGTGCATGGACAGACGTGTGGACTGGATGTGGGGGAGTGGATGATGCTGTCCACACACACACACACACACACACACACACACACGCACGAGCGACTCATGGATTTTGGATTCATCCCCTCTGTTCAGTCAAATAATACTGATGAAAACAATCACTGCAAAAACAAATGATTTCTTTCTCAATATTCTTAAATCAAGATACATTTACTTGACATGCAAAATGACTGAAGATATTATGAAAAAGCCATCGAAATTAACCATCCGGTCATTTTTAATAGAAACATTTTGCTTTTGTTTTTTTTTTTTAGATTTTGTTCTCCTCATCTGAACGGCTTCGGCTCTTGAACACAAAATATATCATGGCAAAGTTTCATTGGTCCAGAAAAACGGTCATACTTGTATTGTTCCTGGTCAAAAATGAGCGCATTGGAAATGAATGGAAAGCAAATTTCATCTAGAATATTTATAAAGTTTAATTAATATTTTGATTTTTGTAATTTTGATGCGTTTTTCATTGAACAAGTCTTAATATCTTCAGTCATTATTGTTCTCTTAATTTAAGGATATTTAGATATTTGTTCTGGAAAACGAGACAGAAACACTGAGGAGGAACATCATGTTTTAGTTTAACAGCAGTTTTCAGGTTTATCATAGGCCTGGTGATGATGATGAAGAGGTTTTGGATGTAAGGTCAGGCCTCGCTCCTCTGTGTAGATGTGGAGAAGAAGCCGATGTGTTTGTGTAGTTCACTCCAGTGTCTCCTCTGTTATTCTCTCTAATGTTTCTTCTGCCTTTAGCGGCTCCTTCCGACCTACTTGTTTTTCTTTCCCGGCTGTTTACTCGTTTACTCTGTGATAAAATAGAATAATAAAGCAGGTTTTGTCTCATTTTCGTGCCACCTCTACACCCTATTCATCTAAAGCGCTGGCACCCCAGAGTCGGCCCTCGCGAGGCCCCAGAGTTTAATTCAGACATAATGTGATGAAAATAAGAGCTCAGAGCGGCGTATTAAATATGAATGACTCTCGACTAACTGCGCGTGTAAACGATCGCTCGAGCGGGAACAGGTTTACATTACACAATAAAACAGGGAAAAGGAAGGAAAGCTTCACCTCCGGCACAGCAGGGTTTATGGAGCGACTCGGATGAGCTGATGTTCAACAACACCAGAGCGAAGCTTTAGCACTTCTCCACCCGTCTTAGCGCTTCTCCACCCATCACAGCCCGCTTCAGTGCTTCTCAGCCCATCTCAGTTCTTCTCCATCCGTCTTAAACCGTCTCAGTGTTTCTGCACCCGTCACAGCACTTCTTCACCCATCTCAGTGCTTCTCCACCTGTCACAGCCCGCTTCAGTGCTTCTCAGCCCATCTAAGCCCGTCTCAGCCCGTCACAGCCTGCTTCAGCACTTCTCAGCCCGACTCAGCCCGTCTCAGCACTCTTCTCATCCCGTCTCAGCGCTTCTCAGCCCGACTCAGCCCGACTCAGCCCGTCTCAGTGCTCTTCTCATCCCGTCTCAGCGCTTCTCAGCCCGACTTAGCCCATCTCAGTGCTTCTCAGCCTGACTCAGCCCGTCTCAGCGCTCTTCTCATCCCGTCTCAGTGCTTCTCAGCCCATCTTAGCCCGTCTCAGCCCGTCACAGCCTGCTTCAGCACTTCTCAGCCCGACTCAGCCCGTCTCAGCCCTCTTCTCATCCCGTCTCAGCGCTTCTCAGCCCGACTCAGCCCGACTCAGCCCGTCTCAGTGCTCTTCTCATCCCGTCTCAGCGCTTCTCAGCCCGACTTAGCCCATCTCAGTGCTTCTCAGCCTGACTCAGCCCGTCTCAGCGCTCTTCTCATCCCGTCTCAGTGCTTCTCAGCCCATCTTAGCCCGTCTCAGCCCGTCACAGCCTGCTTCAGCACTTCTCAGCCCGACTCAGCGCTTCTCAGCCCGACTCAGCCCGTCTCAGCACTCTTCTCATCCCGTCTCAGCGCTTCTCAGCCCAACTCAGCCCGTCTCAGTGCTCTTCTCATCCCGTCTCAGCGCTTCTCAGCCCGACTTAGCCCATCTCAGTGCTTCTCAGCCTGACTCAGCCCGTCTCAGTGCTCTTCTCATCCCGTCTCAGTGCTTCTCAGCCCATCTTAGCCCGTCTCAGCCCGTCACAGCCTGCTTCAGCACTTCTCAGCCCGACTCAGCGCTTCTCAGCCCGACTCAGCCCGTCTCAGCACTCTTCTCATCCCGTCTCAGCGCTTCTCTCAGCCCGACTCAGCCCGTCTCAGTGCTCTTCTCATCCCGTCTCAGCGCTTCTCAGCCCGACTTAGCCCATCTCAGTGCTTCTCAGCCTGACTCAGCCCGTCTCAGTGCTCTTCTCATCCCGTCTCAGTGCTTCTCAGCCCATCTTAGCCCGTCTCAGCCCGTCACAGCCTGCTTCAGCACTTCTCAGCCCGACTCAGCGCTTCTCAGCCCGACTCAGCCCGTCTCAGCACTCTTCTCATCCCGTCTCAGCGCTTCTCAGCCCGACTTAGCCCATCTCAGCGCTTCTCAGCCCGTCTCAGCCCGACTCAGCCCGTCTCAGTGCTCTTCTCATCCCGTCTCAGCGCTTCTCAGCCCGACTTAGCCCATCTCAGTGCTTCTCAGCCCGACTCAGCCCGTCTCAGCCCGACTCAGCCTGTCTCAGCGCTCTTCTCATCCCGTCTCAGCGCTTCTCAGCCCGACTCAGCCCGTCTCAGCGCTCTTCTCATCCCGTCTCAGCGCTTCTCAGCCCGACTTAGCCCATCTCAGTGCTTCTCAGCCCGTCTCAGCGCTTCTCAGCCCATCTCAGCTCTCTTCTCCACCGTCTCAGCGCTTTTCAACCGCCACAGCCTGCTTCAGTGCTTCTCAGCCCTTTTCAGCCCATCTCAGCGCTTCTCAGCCCATCTCAGCCCGTCTCAGCTATCTTCTCAGCGCTCTTCTCAGCCCGTCTCAGCACTTCTCAGCTTGTCTCAGTGCTTCTCAGCACTTTTCTTAGCCCGTCTCAGCCCGTCTCAGTCCATCTCAGAGCTTCTCAGCTTTCTTCTCAGCCCTTCTCTCCGCGTCACAGCGCTCGTCTCAGTCCGTCTCAGCACTTCTCAGCCCGTCTCAGCTCTCTTCTCAGCCCCGTCTCAGCAAGTCTCAGCACTCTTCTCAGCCCTTCTCTCCGCGTCACAGCGCTCGTCTCAGTCCGTCTCAGCACTTCTCAGCCCGTCTCAGCTCTCTTCTCAGCCCCGTCTCAGCAAGTCTCAGCACTCTTCTCAGCCCTTCTCACCGCATCACAGCGCTCGTTCTCAGCCCGTCTCAGCGCTCTTCTTAGCCCGTCTCAGCCCATCTCAGTCCATCTCAGTCCGTCTCAGCGCTCTTCTCAGTCCTTCTCACCATGTCACAGAGCTCGTCTCAGCCCGTCTCAGCACTTCTCAGCCCGTCTCAGCACTCGTCTCAGCCCATCTCGGCGCTCTTCGTAGCTCTTCTCACCGCATCACAGCGCTCGTTCTCAGCCCGTCTCAGCGCTCTTCTTAGCCCGTCTCAATCCGTCTCGGCACTCTTCTTAGCCCGTCTCAGCCCACCTCAGCTCTCTTCTCAGCCCGTCTCACCGCGTTACAGCGCCCGTCTCAGCCCATCTCAGTCCATCTCAGCCCGTCTCAATGCTCTTCTCAGCCCGTCAACACCGCGTCACAGCGCTCGTCTCAGCCCGCCTCAGCTCTCTTCTCAGCCCGTCTCAGCCCATCTCAGTCCATCTCAGCCCGTCTCAATGCTCTTCTCAGCCCATCAACACCGCGTCACAGCGCTCGTGTCAGCCCGTCTCAGCACTCTTCTCAGCCCTTCTCACTGCGTCACAGCGCCCGTCTCAGCCCGTCTCAGTCCATCTCAGCCCGTCTCAATGTTCTTCTTAGCCCTTCTCACCGCATCACAGCGCCCGTCTCAGCCCGTCTCAATGCTCTTCTTAGACCGTCTCAGCCCATCTCAGTGCTCTTCTCAGCCCGTCTCAGCGCTTCTTAGCGCGTCTCAGCTCGTCTCGCTTCACGATCAGGACTTTATGTTGGACGTCACATGACCGTAAACAGTGCAGCGGGATTTATTATGCACACGTCTTCAAAACAAGCGTAGACATTTATTTATTTGTTTGTTTATTTATAATTATTCCTTTATTGTTTATCAATAATTTAATACATTTATTATACTTTTTAAAATTGTATTTATTTAATGCATTTATTCTATTTCTATAACTTTAATTATTTATCTGTTATTAAAATGTATATTTTTATACATACATATATATGTATATAATATCCATTAATATTATCAAATAAATAATAATATTGATAAGAAAAAATATTATTTTTAGATTTTCATTCATTTTAATTATTTGTACATTTAATTTAGAATTAATTTAATGCATTATTAATAGTTAATTTAATATATAATTTAATTTATATTTTATTTAATATAATTTAAATTTAAATTTTTTAGTATATTTCTTTTTCTGTAACTTTTATTATTTATTTTAATTGTAATTAATACTTTAATGCATTATGTATCTCTTAAGTTAATATTAGTAAAAAATACATTTTAAATTGGTTTATTTAATAAATAAATAATTTATGTAATACTAATACTTAATTTGGATTTTAACTCATGTATGCATTGTCTTTTTTTCTATTTTGCAAAATTATAATTATATTTATTATAACTTTAATGCATTTCTGTTTTTCTATTTTTTCTATTTTCATTATTTTTATTCATACCTTTTTTATAATTATTTTAATTATAATTTCAGATTATTTATGATATTTTGATCTATATTGTATTTCCACAAACACACAGAGTTCAGTACAGATCGTGTCCATCTTCATCTTTATTATTTGTGAGGTTGAGGTTAATTTGACAGCGTTCGTGACCTTTGACCTTAACAACTCAATCGATGTCGTGTGAGGCACGCCGCTGCTCTGCTGATGTCCACGAAGCGATGTTAATGTTCATCATCTTACCAGTTTTATTTGCATTTCTCTTTTTTTTCTGGTTTATTTGAAATTCATTTTTCTCCTTCATTGTGATTTGAGTCCCATAACACCCCGAACGCCCTCGACTGATCAGAGCTCGTTCTCTTTGGTGTACTGTTGCTTATACCCTGTCTCGTTTCTCTCTCTCTCTCTCTCTCTCTCTCTCTCCCTCTCTCTCTCTCTCTCTCTCTCTTCTCACGTTTACCTCTAATGTATCTGCTTAAAAAGTCCCCATTACTGGTAAGTTCATGAGCGTGACAGAGCTTGTGTGTTTCTCCCTTAGCTGCATGGACGTAGACACGCGTTATAGCGTCACCCGTCCTCCCCATGTGTGTGTGTGTGTGTGTGTGTGTTTTCGCCATCGTGCTTCTGCTTTCTTTGCTTTGGGTTGTTGTGATTCGCCCATGTGGCTTTTGATCATCCGTCATCACTCATTCCACTCATGCTTTGCTGTTGATTGACAGCACCCATGCACTGCCATGGACTAATGAACCTCAGCAGATCTCAGATCAGGGCCGAGCAGGGACACAGGCCGATTTTAGCCGTGTTTCAGTGAAATTATAGAGGAACGATGCACGTGATATTTCACGAACGAATGGACGAACGGGGCAGTCAATCGATCCCTCCCTCCACATCCACTCATCCACCCCTTCCTGCAACGTCGTGTCATGATCCATCCATTGCCAATGAATGGGAAATCGATCAAGCGCTTTCTTTTACACTGACTGAGAGCATGGAAAAGAGAGATGATTAAGGCAAGACGCTACAAACAAAAACACTGCTTTTGTGCATATAAAGAAAACATCCAAAATACTTTATCTTGCAAGTAAAGAGCAAGTATAGAGTCTTTAGACTCTATATCAAATAAATGCATGAGGCCTTTTTGTATGCAATATCACTATCCTTCCACGAAATGCGAAATACCTCTAGTTTTGAAATCCAAAATCTCTTTTGGAAAAACTAATAAAATGTCAACAAAATCAAACATGAAAATTGCTTTATCCACTGCTCAGAATTATGTTCTGGAAATGTACATATTTAATTAGGTATTACCCTCATTTGCATATTCAAAATGACATTTCAGAAAACATGTAATCTGCAATTATTAAAGTCATTAATCAGCTGTGGAAGTAGGGTGATATCTATTGGGTAAAATTTTGATTAATTAATTACTTATATTACATATTCACCTGAGGTCCTGCCTTAATTATTCAAAATGTGAGTTTTGTCATTATTCGCTCTCATGTTGTTCCAACCCTGTAAGCTGTTGTTTTTCTCTTACATTTCTGCATTTTCAGTGAATAATTGCTTAAATTTCAGTCTTTTTCAGTATTTATTTTTTGTTCAAATATAGTTAGCTAAAACTAAAACCATAAAACAAACATTAACTGAAAAAATAAAGTATAAAAAAACGTTATTATATATTTTTTTGCAATTGTATAACTTAATATAATAAAAAATAATAAATAATATTATTTATATATATTATAAAATGCATAAAACTGTATAGATATGACATAAAATGAAAAAAATAAACTTAAAACAAATTTTTTTTGGAACATATAAAAAACAAAATAAAAATCTCAATGATATTAAAAGAACGCTGGTTGGAATGAACTAAGATTAACAAAGATTAATAAATGCATTAGAAGTATTTGGTTCATGTTAATGTAAAGTCTCCAGAATCACAGTGTGCAGGTTTGGAATAAACGATGCATTTTCATTGTTTTCCGAATTATTTCTTTATTTGAAGACTACTCGTTTAAGTTTATTAGGACATGTGTGTGTAAGAGGAAGTGTGAGCGAGTGTGTTCTCAGCTCTTCAGCATGTGTGTGTGTGTGTTTTCTGTCTTGTGTTGCAGACGAGACTCAAACCCTGACCAGCGACACCAGCAGCCTGGTGCAGTCGCACACACACACACACTCGTCGCACACACACTCTCTGCGCAAGCGTGAGGCCGTGGACGTGCCGTATCAAACGGCTCAGCTTCATCCCGCCATCCGTGTGGCCGATCTCCTGCAACACATCACACAGATGAAGTGTGCCGAGGGCTACGGCTTCAAGGAGGAGTACGAGGTGAGACGGCTATCCCAGCATGCACTGCAGCACACACACACACTCACGCACGTGTGCGATTCTACACTGATGTGAGACCTCAGCTATCCCAGCATGCACTGCTGCACACACACACAAGCGCTTTTACACTGATGTGAGAACTCTGCTATCCCAGCATGCACTGCGAAACACACACTCACACACACACTCAAGCGCACGCTTTTACACTGATCTCAGCTATCCAAGCATGCTCTCAGCATGAGTGAGTGTGAGTCAGTGAGTGAGTGAGTCAGTGAGTGAGTTAGTCAGTAAGTGAATGAGTCAGTGAGTGAGTGAATCAGACAGTGAGTGAATGAGTCAGACAGTGAGTGAGTGAGTGAGTCAGACAGTGAGTGAGTCAGACAGTGAGTGGGTCAGTGAGTGAGTGAGTGAGTCAGACAGTGAGTGAGTGAGTGAGTCAGTCAGTCAGTCAGTGAGTGAGTTAGTCAATGAGTGAGTGAGTCAGACAGTGAGTGAGTGAGTCAGTCAGTGAGTGAGTGAGCCAGACAGTGAGTGAGTCAGTGAGTGAGTGAGTCAATTAGTTGGTGAGTGAGTTAGTCAGTGAGTGAGTCAGACAGTGAGTGAGTCAGTGAGTCAGACAGTGAGTTAGTGAGTGAGTCAGTCAGTGAGTGAGTGAGTCAGACAGTGAGTGAGTCAATTAGTTAGTGAGTGAGTTAGTCAGTGAGTGAGTCAGACAGTGAGTGAGTCAGTGAGTGAGTCAGACAGTGAGTGAGTAAGTCAGACAGTGAGTGAGTGAGTGAGTCAGTCAGTCAGTCAGTCAGTGAGTGAGTGAGTTAGTCAATGAGTGAGTGAGTCAGACAGTGAGTGAGTCAGTGAGTGAGTGAGTGAGTCAATTAGTTAGTGAGTGAGTTAGTCAGTGAGTGAGTCAGACAGTGAGTGAGTCAGTGAGTCATACAGTGAGTTAGTGAGTGAGTCAGTCAGTGAGTGAGTGAGTCAGACAGTGAGTGAGTCAATTAGTTAGTGAGTGAGTTAGTCAGTGAGTGAGTCAGACAGTGAGTTAGTCAGTGAGTGAGTCAGACAGTGAGTGAGTCAGTGAGTGAGTCAGTCAGTCAGTGAGTGAGTCAGACAGTGAGTGAGTGAGTCAGACAGTGAGTGAGTGAGTCAGACAGTGAGTGAGTGAGTAAGTCAGTGAGTGAGTCAGACAGTGAGTGAGTCAGTGAGTGAGTCAGACAGTGAGTGAGTAAGTCAGACAGTGAGTGAGTGAGTGAGTCAGTCAGTCAGTCAGTCAGTGAGTGAGTGAGTTAGTCAATGAGTGAGTGAGTCAGACAGTGAGTGAGTCAGTGAGTGAGTGAGTCAATTAGTTGGTGAGTGAGTTAGTCAGTGAGTGAGTCAGACAGTGAGTGAGTCAGTGAGTCAGACAGTGAGTTAGTGAGTGAGTCAGTCAGTGAGTGAGTGAGTCAGACAGTGAGTGAGTCAATTAGTTAGTGAGTGAGTTAGTCAGTGAGTGAGTCAGACAGTGAGTGAGTCAGTGAGTGAGTCAGACAGTGAGTGAGTAAGTCAGACAGTGAGTGAGTGAGTGAGTCAGTCAGTCAGTCAGTCAGTGAGTGAGTGAGTTAGTCAATGAGTGAGTGAGTCAGACAGTGAGTGAGTCAGTGAGTGAGTGAGTGAGTCAATTAGTTAGTGAGTGAGTTAGTCAGTGAGTGAGTCAGACAGTGAGTGAGTCAGTGAGTCATACAGTGAGTTAGTGAGTGAGTCAGTCAGTGAGTGAGTGAGTCAGACAGTGAGTGAGTCAATTAGTTAGTGAGTGAGTTAGTCAGTGAGTGAGTCAGACAGTGAGTTAGTCAGTGAGTGAGTCAGACAGTGAGTGAGTCAGTGAGTGAGTCAGTCAGTCAGTGAGTGAGTCAGACAGTGAGTGAGTGAGTCAGACAGTGAGTGAGTGAGTCAGACAGTGAGTGAGTGAGTAAGTCAGTGAGTGAGTCAGACAGTGAGTGAGTCAGTGAGTGAGTCAGACAGTGAGTGAGTAAGTCAGACAGTGAGTGAGTGAGTGAGTCAGTCAGTCAGTCAGTCAGTGAGTGAGTGAGTTAGTCAATGAGTGAGTGAGTCAGACAGTGAGTGAGTCAGTGAGTGAGTGAGTGAGTCAATTAGTTAGTGAGTGAGTTAGTCAGTGAGTGAGTCAGACAGTGAGTGAGTCAGTGAGTCATACAGTGAGTTAGTGAGTGAGTCAGTCAGTGAGTGAGTAAGTCAGACAGTGAGTGAGTCAATTAGTTAGTGAGTGAGTTAGTCAGTGAGTGAGTCAGACAGTGAGTTAGTCAGTGAGTGAGTCAGACAGTGAGTGAGTCAGTGAGTGAGTCAGTCAGTCAGTGAGTGAGTCAGACAGTGAGTGAGTGAGTCAGACAGTGAGTGAGTGAGTCAGACAGTGAGTGAGTGAGTAAGTCAGTGAGTGAGTCAGACAGTGAGTGAGTCAGTGAGTGAGTCAGACAGTGAGTGAGTAAGTCAGACAGTGAGTGAGTGAGTGAGTGAGTCAGTCAGTCAGTCAGTGAGTGAGTGAGTTAGTCAATGAGTGAGTGAGTCAGACAGTGAGTGAGTCAGTGAGTGAGTGAGTGAGTGAGTCAATTAGTTAGTGAGTGAGTTAGTCAGTGAGTGAGTCAGACAGTGAGTGAGTCAGTGAGTCAGACAGTGAGTTAGTGAGTGAGTCAGTCAGTGAGTGAGTGAGTCAGACAGTGAGTGAGTCAATTAGTTAGTGAGTGAGTTAGTCAGTGAGTGAGTCAGACAGTGAGTGAGTCAGTGAGTGAGTCAGTCAGTCAGTGAGTGAGTCAGACAGTGAGTGAGTGAGTAAGTCAGACAGTGAGTGAGTGAGTCAGACAGTCAGTGAGTGAGTGAGTAAGTGAGGGAGAGTGAGTGAGTCAGTCAGTGTTTGTGTGTGTGTGTGTGTGTGTGTGTGTGTGTATTGTGCAGACGAAGTTCTGTCTATGTTGACTTACACACTGTGTCTCTCTCTTCTGGTTCTGTTGTTCTCTTTGGAGCAGATCAATGAGGTAAGACTTTGTTTGGTTCCTTCTAACTGAGAGACCCTGATGATGATGATGATGATGATGATGATGATGATGATGATGATGATGTGGTGATGATGATGTGGTGTGGTGATGATGTGATGATGATGTAGACTGTGATTAGTTTGAAGGCA